TCCATTTTTTTATTTTTCTTTTGCGCGTTGTTATTCTTTATCTATTTCATACGGTAATAGGAAAAAAACCCCAAAAATCGTTATTTTTTAAAAAAAATTTCTTGTCAATTATTCTTAAATTTTTTTCTCATTTTTTTATTTTCTTCCCATTTTTACTTTAAGTCATTGTTAATTTTTATTTTTCTGACCTTTTCTCAATTCACTTAATTTTTTTAGTATAACCTAGCAATAATTAATATTGATAAATAATTTTATAAGCGAATGCCACAATCATTAACAGCTATTAAACTCAAAAAAAAACACAAAATACTTACGAAAAAATATTCGAAGACAGGATTTATTTCCTGGTCCATTATATATATACATGGTTTTCGAAAAGTCTGCTATGAGCGCGATTAAAACTGTCATTGGTATGATTATTAATATGTTAAATTATTTATATTTATTTTTTCAAGTAGGGGATCACATCATAATCAGAGGATGCTTTTACCATTTGTGTCAAAGTACCCATAGAAAAATTCAAAAGCTAGGTCTGGAAAGCCAATACAGAACCGATGAAGCCCTAAGCTTCTTTTGTGGCATGATGGACGGCTTAGCATTTGTTCCTTTATGTGATAAGGGCAACGCAATGGCATTCCTTAGATCGGTTACTCCGAGCAATGGTAAGGATATTCTTGAATATTTCGATAAAAATTACATCAATGGAGTATCAAGGGAGGTCACAAGAAGCAATTCTCAATCCCAGACAGGTCAAATTGGGCCTTGATTTCCTCCAGAAACTTGAATCAGAGCACTCAATCCAACGAATAACTCATAAATAATCAATGCGAAGGTTCGAATCATCGTTTTTCTAATCTGGTTGGGAATAAACACCCTTCAATCTGGTTATTAATTTAAAAAATGAAATGCGAGGTGGCTGCCGATGAAACCAAACTTGAACGATGGCGTGTAGGTAGTTGGACACCGAAAACAGAATCACAGTGCTTAAACAAGAAAAAATGCTGATGTTCAAATTGGTACTGAGAAAAAAAATATCCCAGTAAAATAACCCATGTATTACTTATTTTCGTAAGAATTTTTTCTATAGTAATAAAAACAATATCCATCCTTAATTACTATATTAAGTAGACTAAATTTGACAAAATTTGCAATAAGATCTGTTTATTTTATTGAAAAATCATTTAAATTATAAACATAATATTTTTTTCTAAAATACTAATTTGTCTATACCTTATTAAATCCAAATAAAAATATACCGATATTATTAGATCTTAAGTAAATTCGAAAAAAAATTTCGAAGTTTTTATCCGGGGGTTTTTTTACGGGATTCATTTCATACATATACGATTCTCGAAATAATTATACCCAGTATAGATAGTTATGTAATGGCTAAATGTCGCCAATTCTGTTCAATCTTCAGGCGCCTGTCGGAGAAAATTCGCCAGGATTCAAGCGTTTTCCAACCCTAGCTAAAAACTTGGTTTAGTCGATTTTTTAGCCGTAGCTTAAGAATTGGCTTAAACGGTTAAAAATATATAGTAATTACCCAAATATACCTATGATACACCTGGTGGTTGTTATATCTATATTTTTAAAAGATAGATTTATTTGTTGATTTCTGTTTTTTTTTCTTTATTTCAAAGAAATAAAATCCCATTTTAAAAAATTTATGTTGCTGTATAAAATTATACACATTAATTGTAAAATATACACGCAATCCTTTGAATGATTGTGTCTTATAAAATTTCGAACGGCTTTATAAATCAATCGATTTTAATGGTTTTCCTGATATAGTGAACTAATGCGAATTAAGGTTTCTATAGTAGTATTACTACTATACTTAAACAGATTTTGGAAAGTTAAGCAAATTCCCCCTCCACTCTTCTCCAACCTCGAACTCTTCTTAAAATGTCTAGAAACGCGAACCAATTCTAAAAATTTCCAGTAACCAGTTGTTCAAAGGTTCAAGTTATTTTAAAAAACAATGTGCAAAAAAAGTAGTGATTTTTTAGGGATTTTATTTATTGTGTTAATTTTTTGACAATTTTTTTCGGTGTAAGGAGAAAATTTTGATTTATTATTTTTTTTGCTAATTTTGATTTTGATAAGGGAGGAGGGGGATAATACCGTCATTGATTTAGTAGATGTAGAAGAAATATCTGAATTTGGTTAATGAAGTTTTTTTTTGCTAAAAAATATTATTTAAAACTGAGAAATTAAATGTTCTGTTGTTAAACATGTTGTGTCTAGATTTTTATAAAATGTCTAATCCAAGATTTTAGCCCAAAAAAAAATTAACGCAAGTCTGGAGGTATGACATATAGACAGAAAGGTTTGGATATCTATTAGCTAAATTTTGAGGCCTTGCATAATTCTATTTCGGCTAAAATCTTAATTTAAAACACGTATAAACGGGTCATTTAGCAACACTAATTAAATGTCTAAATTTATTACTCCCTCTTAGTTCCCATCTCTTAATGATTAACGGTGCAGATATGCACCAGGCTAGATTTTTTATTTAGGATTAATTTTTGCCTGATTTTTTTAGAATATCATATTTGAGCATTAATCTTTATAATTTGAAAAAATTGAGCATTTTTATCCACTAGAAAAATCTTGGCCAGTAATAGGTTAATACACGAGTCAAAATGTTGGAATAAAGATATTTTTTTCAAACAAATGAGCAAAATGTCGGTTAAAATTCTTTCTATCAAATATGGTAATATTCTAATAACATAATAAAATGGCACAATCTTATCTTGTGGTGAAATGAACTCACAAAACATTTTTATTATTATATTATAGTGCTACAATCATATCAGATACTCAAAATTTTTCAAAAATTATCGCGCATCTTCCCATAAAGCGTTTGCATATTTTATAGTTTATTTAAATATGCGTATAGGATAAGGTTAATAAACATAACTAAATATAAAACAGTCCTATATAATATAAAACTGCTTTTGTTAAACGGCTCGTTTTGAGATGATTTTTAAAAACGGCTAACTCAATATTTTATCCAGAAATAATATTTTGAAAGTCTTAAGATTTTGCTCCTAGATGACAAAGGTTTGAGCATCTATTTAACAAAATCTCTAGGTTTAGGGAATATTTTTCTGGCTAAATATTGAGTTGAACGAGCCGTTCAACAACACTATACAAGACATAACTTATCAAGCAACGGCCAAATTTTATTGTGTCTATTTTTAAAAAACAGACCTACCCTATCAAGTCCATATTTCTGTTTGGGTAAGATCAGACAAACGCAAAAATACTCTAGGTGTGATGAATTGTTTTTGCTAAAACAAATTCGATATTAGAACTTACCGCGTCTAATATCAAATTCTCTTCACCAAAAATAATTTCCTTTTTTTCTAGCAAGCTTGGTATCGAAACCTAATTTACTGCATCTCAGCACAAGGTGTATAGCCTTTGAGCCCCTCTCTATTATCACTAAAAAATATCTAAATATGGCTCACGCAACATTTTTAATACGAATCTTGTTAGAACTGGTTCCAAAACTCTTGGTATTTTTTTAAATGGATTTTATTTCCGGACCCGGTTTCCATAAATTTTAAAAGGTGGCTTCTAGATATTAAGATTTAAATCCTACTGAGCAAGGATTTCGGTCCCCTTTTACGGGGCTCTCTATGCTATAATGTATGTGCAATAAAATGAGCATTTACACCAATCGACAATTACATTGATGTTAATTTCTAATAAGTTATTTTTTTAACCCGCTCTTAAATAATCGTAGAACATCTTTTTTTGGATCATGGATAGAACCCTCTACCTTTTTTTTCTATTATTATTATGGAATTGGGTAATTAAAACTAGTTTTGCTAAATGGCTCAATATTAAAATGCAAATCCTATATCTTCGTCAAAAAAAGGTAAGGCAAGCCTTGAGTGATTTTGCTGATTAGATAGCAGAAAGGTTTAAATTTGAATATCGATTAGCGAAATTTCGAGGCTCGCGTAATTTTACTTCTGTGGAAATCGAGTCGTTTAACACTAAAAAATTAATTAAGTTTCTGCATAATAATGTTCTATATCCAAAATATTTTTTTAGATAAGAAATCACAACCATAATAATGTAAAACAAAAGATCATTATTTCTAAATTATATTTTAATATTTTTATTGGTAATACAGAATAATACGGTACTAAAGCAGTGTCCTGGGTCGGCTCATTAATAAATAGCCGGTTATTTAATATCGACTAAATAACCAAAAAGGCTAAAGAAAAAATTTCAAAAAAAACGAGAATGAAATGCGAAAAATAACAATGCCACCAAATACTTTAAACAAGCCTATAGGATGTCCTACTAACGCAAGACTTTTTAGGATAGGCTAAAAAGTTTTTGAACCAAGACACCTTATTTTGGCTTGTTTTAAGTATTTAGTTGTATTGTTATTTTTTTTATTTTATTTTAGTTTTATTTTATTTTTCTGTTTTTTTTTAATTTTCCTTTGCTTTTTGGTCATTATAGCCGGTTAGTATTAAACCGACCTAGGACGCGACCGAAGGATTAATTTTTTAAAAAAGTTTTTTCACACTCAGCCAACGATAGGCAAAGACACGCAAAATTTTTGCCCATTACAGGCGTAGAATCACTGACAAATGTCCTGGACAAAAAGACCCCGAACAAAGTACCCTGGGCATGACAAAAATTGGGCCATTTTTGCTCCATTTATTTGTCTGGTCCTTTTGATCAGTTTAGGTCAGTGATTCGTAGACATATGATGTTAACTTAATACCACTTGATTTTTAAAAATTTTTAAGCAATAAAATGAGTCATACTTTTTTTATAAAAAAAAAGGTGTCGATGAACCTTAAAATAATTACATAATATAAAATTATTTTTTAAGATAATAATTGAATGTGTTATATGCAAGTGTAAATTAAATATTATCGATGAAAGCTCAGAAGCCTTATAAATAATTAACTTTTCAAAATTTATCAATAAAACTTTCTTAAAAAATTTATATCAAAATTTACTGGCTAAGGTGGTCTGAAAACTAGATGAAGCCCATACAAGCGTCGCAATTAACAGAACTCCGTTTAGGAAAGATAATGGAATACGCTGATTGGACGACGATATCGCGTGCCTGGATTTGTGGCGGGATAAGGAAAAATAGAAGTGGCGTTTAAATTGTGTCATTTTATTTAGTTTCTGGAGGAATCCTCTCATTTTTTTTAAATATATATTTTGAGCGATTGAATAAATGAATGGTTATAAAAGGAAGAACGACATTTGGCGGTGGGGGGAAAAATTATTGCAATTTGACATTTCGTGATTTTTTTTTTGGCTAACGGTGAATTTCTTGAATGGCGATGGATCGTAATCCCGACAAAAGATTTATAAATTTATGGATGGAATGTTAAATGCCGAAGAATTTTGAATGGAGATTTCATTCGTTCCTAAATACTATTTAAAATAATATTAAGAGATAAGATAAAAATATATATTTTTTTTTTCAAAAAAAAAACAAACAAAAGCTAATAATATTTTTTTAAAATTGAATAAAATCGGCGATATAAATCTCCTCGACCTTTATATTTTTTTTAAAAAAATTAAAACAAATATTTTATCTAAGAGCCAACCGGCTGAAGCAGATAAGACACCAATCCATTCGATTCCTTATCGTAGGGAGGGAATGGAATATTATATTATATTATATTATATTATATAGATACCATTCAACTTATTTAAGTAAAATATTATGTATAATGTGGTTTTGATGATGATAATGATAAAATCTATGAATTTAAAAATATAAAATATAATCGTTTTTTTTAAAAAAAAATCACTTTTCGATGGAAATTTTAAGAACGTTTTTTTTTTGTTTTTAAAAAAATATAAATAATATTATTAAAAAAAGTCTAATACAAAAAAAAAGTAATGGTCGATCGATAAAAAAAAATATATTAATAAATTGTTAATATAAGTTCCAAATTTTGTTTTTATATTCTTCGATATAGAAAAAATAGTAAATCTTACCGTCCTTGAAGCAATGTGTTACTTTCTTTGTCCAGTATAAAAAAAACTGAAAATTAGGATATATATATTATATAACATACTTTTTTTTTAAAAAAATTTAAATAATCAATAAATTTGAAGAAGAAAAATATTAGTTAGCGTATCCAATAAAAAATTTGCCGCGTCCATTTAAAGGAGAATATCAGGAGTCCAAACCGAGCCTGAACCGTTATACCCCTATTAAGAGTTATTATTTACCGAACCTTTAAAAAGGTCTGTTAACCGGTATGACTTTAAAAAAAATGATTAAATGGATTGATAAATTATCTATATTTTTTAGATACTTTTTTAGGGGTGCCACTGATTTTTATGGCCTGGTTATGTATATTTCGAAATTGGCAGAGGATTTACAGATTTTTAAGGAACATAACCATGTTGAAATCTTGATAACATTCAAAAATATGTTATCAAACAAAAATATTTTAAGGGAGTTTTGGTAACGGCAAATAAAATCAGCCTATTTTTGGATCGGCAAACTGATTCTACGTTTCCTAACAAGTTGTGATGTTACTTCTATTCCAGTATGTTACAAAAAAATTAACTGCCAATCTCGTGCCAACTTTTAGATATTTTATAATTAGGTCCTTTTAATGTCGGCAGATTTTGTATATTGGTATTTAATTTTATCCCGGTTTCAGGTTCGCTTTTAAAACTCTGGAAAGGGTTACGTTAAAATTAAAAATAAACGCGATATCTTGGAAAATCTACTCGACAAAAGAATCAGATGGCTAATAATATAACACTATTCTGTCATATAGTAATGAATCCCAAGATCATTCTTACTAATCTGACGATCGTGAATCGCGATTTTCACAAAATACGTTATTAAGTACCTCAGTGCGAGCGGATTTTTTCAACTGCCCAGAATCCGCCATATTTAATTTTAGATTTTGGCTAGTTGATTTCGATAATCTCGACAACCAGACAGGAATATGTGTATCAAATAATGTGGGTTACGATTACCTAATTTTTCTAATATTGTTTTCGCATTCATTATCTTACTATTTTTAAAATTAATTATATTTCAAATTTTAAACAATTATCATATTTTTTTCGGAGGATGTTCTTTCGTTCGATAACCCATCTCGAAATTAGTTTTTTTCTTCTTTTTTTGGAGATATTATAGTTAAATTTTAAAGAGTACAAGGGTGAAAAACAAAATAAAAATAATTTTTCAACAAATAGATATATTATTATTTCTTAGCCCTCCGTGTATATTAAAATTATTTATAAAATATTTTTTTGCTAGCCTTGTTTTATTAATTGTTGTCAGAGGTGATTTGAGTTCGCCCGCAAAATTTAAATATTACATTTCAAATCAATTATAAATGGCTGCCAAATGTGTTTTACGCGATGTAAGCGATGACATATGGTATCGAGTAATTCATGCATCGTTTTATAACAAATTAGCTGGTGACACGCCAATTTGGTTATCAGTATAAGAATTTAGTGAAGAAATGAAATTCTAAATTTTTTCATAGATTTTCATAAAATACAATTATAAATTATTTAAACGCGGAAAATTAAAATGGAGTGTCACCAGGTGATTTTGTATCGATATAATTTTTAAAGCGGAAATTCAAAATGGCGTATCACCAGCTGATTTGTAATGTTGATACATCGTTAGTCTCTCTAGATGTGTCATTAATTTGAAGCCTTGAATTTATAAAAGATTTAAGTCAAACCCCCTTAACAAACCTTATATTTAAGAAATTTCACTATATATCGTGGCCTAACCCTGCGTTCAATAGCGCTAACTCGTACTAGATGATATAAAAAAAATTACATTTATTTTCTAACTATTAATGCAGGCGTATCCATTTTTTATCAAAGATGACTTTTTTATATAAATCAATTTTTTTATAATTATTACTACTCTGATTCACATAAAAATAAATCCGAAATATTTATAAAATAGGTTAAATTATGGTCATTATAAGGGTTATCCATCCTATTGAAAAACAATTAGATAATTATATATTTTATATTGCTCTCTTATAAAATTACGAAAGAGATGGAATAATCTAATTCTCAGGCGACGATAAATGAAAACTAAAAATGGATTATTATATCATCTAATAATATTAATTTTAATAAGCTTTGGGCCATAAAACATAAGTTATTTTAAATATATCGCATCGTTTTCATCCATCCATCAAATATTATAAATAAATTATGGTAAACAAAATGGGTAATTAATTATTGATGAATAATTTATAATTTGTTCGCGACAAATAATATTTTTTTTAAAGGCGCGAAAAATAATTAAGGTCTGTCATCTTGAATAAAATAGGGAATTTTATTTATAGTCACCAAGCCCCCCTCCACAATATTATATATATGAAATCGAGAATTGGCGGGTAATTATATATATCACTCTCAACAAGGGTATATGTATGACGCAATTATGTCATAAAAATTTCTAAGGGAGGAAGTCAAAGGGTCACCTTCTTAGTCAGTATCCATTAGATAATTGAATCATAGTGTCATTGGCTTGTGAAGAAAAGTGGGGGGCAGGGGGGGGGGGGGGTTTATACACACGACAATTTATTTAGGTCCATATTTTTTCAATATCTGTAAAATTCCCTTTAATCCTGTTGCATGTTGAAAAACTGTTTGTTTCATTATATCTTCCTCCGAATCATCATTTACAATATTGGGTTTATTAAATTTTCTTTTTCTCATTTCAATTTCACTAATAGTTCCCAGGATACCTGTTTATTTGAAATCTTAAACACTTTTAATATAGATTCCTTTCTCCGAAATGTATAAATGGAGGTGAGTTTAAAAGTACAAAAATCGGCTTTTTTACCCTTAGGCCCATCTTAAATAATTTTTTTTTAAAGATCGAATATTGAATCTAATATTAATAACTAGTAAACCATCAAAATTATATATTTTATCTAATGGGCTAATAGAAAATTTAAAATTAATATATAGAAATGAATATGAGCTTTTACAATTTTTTTCTAATAATTTCTTCAATAATTAGCGCGACTGGGTAGTGTAAGCGGCTAGATTTCGCCAATTTAAGCCAAAATAATATTACTCAAACCAGAAGATTTCTTTAATAGATGTCCAAACCTATGATGAGTTTTTGATGTCCGGGCATTACTTAATCAAACTATATTAAAATATTCTTCACGTACAAAACAATAGAAGGCATCAATATAAAAAACATAAAAACCAAAAGATTTCAAACATTTTATCTGTCAGAAAAATTGGCAAATTCAAATAACGGCGTTCACGAATGTTGATCGGCCTTCATTTTGATTTCTATACTATTTCTTCACAAAATTTAAAATCTTTAACCATTATAAATTTCACCTAAGATATATAGCAGAGATCTGCACAGATACCATTTGCAAGGCCCGGCCCGGATTCTTTTAAAATATATTATATTTATTTTTAATAATTATAGCTAATATAAGCGATTTAAAATATTCAACCAGGCCCGGATATTATTTTAAAAAATTTTTTTAGGCCCGGCTCGGGTATATTTTAAAAAAATTAAAATACGAACGGGCCCATTATATTGCAGGTAAACCTCTACTATAATATTTAAAATTAATTTATCACATTATCATCCCTATAAAATTTTAGGTTGAAAATCTAATAGTTATGAGAAAATAACATTTATGGTGAAGGTAATTCAATTTGATTATGGTTAGTATTTTTTTTATTAATTATACTAAATTAAGCGCATAAATAAAATCAATATATATTGTAAATTCAATTTTTTTTTAAATTATATTTAAAAAAACGCAATCAAGTATATCAAGTAGTATTATTTATCAGCACGCAATTAAAATATAAAAGCATAATGATCTTTATTTTAATGTAACAACGCGATTTATACCAATTGAAATGAAAACTAGTGGAATTACCAATTTGATTGATATGGATATTAAGTTTTTTTTCTTTTTTTTAAAAAAAGGGTTTGATAATGTATAAAAACTTAGACAATGACATTCATTTCCAATAGGAAGGGGGAATAAAATGTTTAAAATTATTTTAAAAATATTATATAGTGCATATGCGGAGAATAGTCATCATTAATGCCTGGTAGATAAATTTCTCACGATGCCAATGTGGGATAGTAGCAAATAATTACTATCTTTTTAAAGGTGATATTTAGGTATTATATCCTTAATATTGTTATTTTTCGCTGGAATTATGACGAATAATTTATTTTTAAATATATATACTTTTTATTAATGTTATGAGAGATCAAAAAAAATTAAAAAAAATTGTTGCAAACCCTTCTTTTTTTCTTCAAAATTAAAAAAAAATTTCAGGAGTTTGATCTCTGAAATATTTTTTAAATTTTTTTGATCAAATTTTACCTATAGCCTATTTTTAAAAACGGCCAACTCAATATATACAGAAAAATATTTCCTGAATCTGAGATTTCGCTAATAGATGTCCAAACCTTTGTACCATTTATGAACAAAATCGTTCTGAATAAAATATTAAGTTAGCCATTTTTAAAAATCGGCTCAAATTGAGTCGATTAACAAGACCAATGAGAAATCCTTCATGATTGGCTCATAAATTCTAATAACTCTTTTGTGATCCAAAAGTTTTTTTAAAAAAAAAACTGGAAACCTAATGATAAAATTTTGAAAATTTTCACAAATA